AGCCGCTGACACCAAGAGCAGACTCGAGGGGAAGCCCAGCAAGGGGGAGGGTGTCCCACAGGTGGGGAGGAGGTAGGAGGCGACCATGAGATTCCCTGTTGGTGCCTGAGCTATCCTGGGCAGTCAGAGCATCCCCTGCGCGGTGTGGCTTCTCCAGTGTGTAACAGAGGTTGAGCACACGCTGCAAGCATGCCCTTTCCTAAGAACATGGGCACTGGGGGACATGTCTCCCTTCTCCTCCACTGCCTCTTTGCACAACACCTGTAGGAGGTTCCTGCCTTTGAAGACATAACCCTGGGGCAGTTGGAAGGAAAGCTGGAAACCAGGTGGAAACTCAGGACACGGGAACCCTCTGCCAGGCTGGTTTAACCTGATACTGGGGGGTCCTGGGCAGGGCGTGGGGAGCGGGCTGGGTGAGAGGTGCTGGCTGGAGGAGAGCTGGACAGTGGGGTCAGCTTGAGTGCCAAGTCTGCCAGGACCGGGACTGAATGCCATCCTGAATTGGAGGTGGTTTTGGCATCACAGGGTTCTCCCTGGGGATCACCACTTTGCTCTGACCGGCACCAACACTTACCCAGAAGACCATCCCTGCCGCCAAAACACTACAGGGCTGAGAGCAGGGCTTGGGGGCATGACCAGACCTTCCTGCCCCATTTGTTGGCCTCTCCTGCCCCACGCTGCCGGCAACGGGTCAGGCAGCACAACCCCAGAGCTCTGCTCGCAGCGCTGCTCCTCAGCAAGGCTTACCAAAAACCTTGGGGTGCATAGGCCCATTGCTCCCCCAGGGGCAGGGGGGACCTGGGGGACACCCCCCCACTGCCGCTGGTGTCACTGGGTCGCTTCATCGTGCCACTCTTGCTGAAAACTTTCTCTTGAGGGGTTTGATGCTCAGGCAAGTCACCCTGCAAAGCAGTACGTGCTCAGCTTGGGGGAACCTGTGGGCAGGACACCATCAGCCCCAGGTTAGACTTGCTTCATCTGGACCTTTTTTATCTTTTCATCTCCAAGCAGCAGGTGGCAAAGGCAGGGCCACAGCGGGGAGGTCTGAGACAAGCCTTGAGACAAGCCGGTGCTTGCGCGTGGCCCAAAGGGTACATTTTAAAGCAGCCCTAATACACAGAGTTTTCCTCCCAGCACCTGATCCCTGAGCGATGCACGGGGAACCGGACAAGGGACAAGAGGGAGCACCCATGGGGGTGCCAGGATGCGGCCCCACAGGCTGCCCTTGTGCCCGCACATCCCTGGTACCCTCTCCCCAGGACACCCCATGGCGATACACCCCACAGCGGTGAGCCCATGGGGTTGCGTGGGGCCATGGGGCTGCCAGACCAAAGGCAGTTGGCAGAGGGTCTGGATGCCACCTCCAGGCTCTCCTCCCCCCAGGGAAAAGGTTATTTTCACGTTGCCTCCCCGCAGGAACGATCATAAATTGCTTAAACGGCTGCGGCGCTCAGGGGACGGGCCCTTTCAGAGCCGAGCTGCACACAGGGAGGGGAAAGCCCAGGGGACTTTTTAATAACTAGCAAGGGGAGCTATTAAAGTGTTTTACTGCCTCGTTAAGACAGTCTAATCTCTGTGTATATCTTGGAAAAAAAAAAAAAAAA